GGGTTCCCAGGTCCAAGGAGAGGTCCCCAGATGTTCTCTAGGCAGCAGAGGAGTGGGTGCCTGAACTGGCCTTGGCCCATAACCATACTGATGAATATTTTGCATATCACCATAGAACCTTCATCTGGCGATGGATGGAGATAGAGACAGAGACCCACATTGGAACACTGGACTTAACTCCCTAGGTCCCAATGAGAAGCAGATGAAGGGAGAACGTGAGCAAGGAAGGCAGGATCAGAGGGAACCCTCATCTGACGATGGATGAAGATAGAGACGGAGACCCACATTGGAGCACTGGACTGAGCCCCCAAGGTCCAAATGAGGAGCAGAAGGAGGGAGAACATGAAAAAGGAAGTCAGGACTGCGAGGGGTGCGTTCACCCACTGATACATGGGGACTGATCTAATGAGAGCTCACCAAGGCCAGCTGGACTGGGACTGAACGAGCATGTGATCAAACCGGATTCTCTGATTGAGGCTGACATGGGGGCTGACTGAGAAGCCATTGACAATGGCACTGGGTCTTATTTCATCTGCATGTACTGGCTTTTTGGGATCATAGTCTGTTTGGAAACTCACTTTCCTAGACCTGGAGGGAGGGGAGAGGGACTTGAACTTCCTACAGGACAGGAAACCCTGACTGCTCTTAGGACTGGAGAGGGAGGAGGAGAGGGAGTGGGGGGAATGGGAGGGTATTGGGAGGAGAGGAGAAAGTGGAAATTTTTATAAATAAATAAGTAAGTAAATTTAAAAAAAAAAAAGACGGAGAGCGGTAGATACCTAATACTAACCTCTGCCCTTCGCGGGCATGCACATACACCCCGATTGTACCAAGTCTTTGCCTCAAGCCAATCAGACTACCAATCTCCTCCCCAGTCCCTCCTGTGTGAGGCTCTTTGGCCGGAAGCCTCAGTCCATCCTCTGCTGAGCTCCTCTCTCTCCCTTCCATTCTCCACGAAAATGCCACCCTCTCAAGAAGTCATCCTGTCCGATCTAAGATGTCCCAGCCAGCCCCTCTCCTTCCCTCGGGTTATCCCTTCGAGCATGAATCACGTTTTTTAATTACTTATTTTTTTTTGCTCGTTAATCACCATAATGAATCAGAAACTCCACGTAGGGCTGAGAGGGTAATGGCTGGCGGCAGATACCGCTGGTTTTGTTTGTCTTTGCTCACGGAAGCCAACAGAGTACCTGGCACGTGGTTAAGGCTCGATTAATGTATGAAGGGCAGATTGATTTTAAAAAAAAAAAAAAGGAAAGCGGTAAGGGAGAGAGAAACAAGAGAGGGAGATAGAAGGGGGCAGGGGAAGAGAGAAAGTGACATGGGAAGAAAGTGGGGTGGGGGAGGAGGAAAGGAGGTGGATGCAGAAAGATGTCACAGCGGTTCACTGTGGCTCTCTGCTTCTCACGCGCAGTGATGTCTCTGGCAGCAAAGAGAACTCCCTTGCACATTTTTTCCCCTAGAAATTCTCCTAAGTCAGCTTCTCGGCTTGAGAGCCCCGACTGTAACCCTTCACTGAGATGGTTATGCTCCGGCTTTCTCCGCTTCCCATCTTCTCTCCGCTCATCAGGGCAACAGAGGGTCTTCTGGAAACTGTATGTTGGGCTGCATAGAAAATAATGGGCGCGTCTGAAATATTCTTCACGTGTCTGAGAGCTGCTAGACCACATTCTAAGCTGACTTCACAGGGTATTTGTAACCCCGAACGGGCTATTCCAAAATTAAACGTGGCATTTTTAGCCCAGGGCCATTGATAACCTGGTTCATTGAGTCGTCAGCTCAGCTCCACGTCATGTCTACAGTAAGTAGCTCACTCCTGAAAATGCTCTTCAGTCCCTGAGTGCCCAGCCCACCCGCACTGGCTGTGCCTTTGGGAGGTTGGCCAGTCCCCTGGGGGAGCACCATCCACATGCTCACCTCCTCTGATTCCTCCACCTTCTGTGGGTGGCCAGCATGGGAGAGCCGAAGGAGGAGGCAGCAATGACCATGAAAAGGGAAAAGTGGAAGTGGGGAGGGACAAGATTCTGCACGGATACTGGGGCTACTTCTCTTTGGGTTAGGGCCAAACACCTGACCAAAGAAAAACAAAATGATACTTCAGGATTTGCTTTGGCTCAGGGTTTGAGTACCCAGTCCCTTAGGATGAAGAAGGCATGGTGGCAGGGATGTGAGACAGCTGGTCACATCTCATCCATAGTCAGGATCCAGAGACTTATGAACACCGGCTGCCCAATTGGCCTCCTCCCTATTCCCTCATTCTTGTCTGGGGCTCCAGACCATGCCCACATCGAGGTGAGTTTCCCCCAGGTAACCCTCCCTAGAAATACCCTCATGGACACACAGAGGTGTGTCTCCTGGGTTGTTCTAAACCCAGGGAACTTGACAGTGAAGATTAACATTTGCAAATATTAAAAGCAGTCAAGAGTCACAGGAAAGAAGCGAAAGGCCAAGCAGGCTAAGAGAAAGGAAAGGCAAGCAGAGGGCTCTGGGGTCACCCTGGCACGACACAGACCCTGCACGTAAGCATGACATGCTCACACACTTCTGAGACCACAGAGCCTTCCATCTTCAGCTTTCTCTGCTCTGAACCAACAACCTCCTTCCCGTGCTGCTGCTGAGCGACGGTGAAGCAAGTCAAGGGCGCAGCCCGGAGAGTTGGCATCAGCCTGCCTGACCAGTTGTGGGACTTTGGGCAGCTTATTTCCCCTTTCTCGGCCACAATTTCCTCAACTATGAACCAAGCATGGTAACCTTACAAGGAGGCTGGGAAAACAAATACAAGGATCCTGAAGTGCCCGCCGCAGAGAAGGACCTCGAGAAATAAAGCCTCTTGTTTTCATTTCCTTCTGCAGGCTCTTCCCCAGTCCCTCTCTCCCGTGTGACTAATGTGTCCCTCGAGGCAGGGTGGCTAGGATGTGGACAAGGACCATGAGAGGAGAGAGACTCAAGAACTATTGCTTGGGAACAATCAGCAGGACGAATGATGACAAGACCGTGATATGTTTGAGGCTACCGAGTCAGCCTGAACTGACTTTCCATCCATCTCCGGCACCCACTCACGATGCAGCCTTGGACAAACCTATCAGCTTCTTACAGCTGCTATAACAAATTACCACGAACTTGGCAGCTTAGCACACAAATTTATTCTTAAGTTCTAGAGGTAAAAGTGTCCCGAGTCGGTTTCACTGAGGTCAAGGTGTGAGTGACGCTGCAGGTTCTAAGAGAGAATCTGTTTCTCGGCCTTTTCTAGCTTCTGTGGGCCCCCTGAACCCCTGAGCCAGAGCCCCCTCTGTGTCCTCAATGGGCACCATGCTAGCCTGACTCCAACTTTCCTCGCTCCTCATCAAAGAACCTTTGATTACATCTCTGGGCCCACCTGAATAATTCAGAGCCACCTCGCTACCTCAAGGACCTTAAAGAAATCACAACTACAAAATTCCTTTTGGTGCGTAAGGTCATATATATAAGTCCTGGGGTAGGGTGTGGATATAGTTTAAGCTCTAACCAGCCCATTTCTCGGAGACGCATTTTCTTCACCTGTACAGAGGATTCTAAACCTGGTTAAACGTATCAATTTGGCAGTGCCATGGCCCCTAGGTACTTAGCCAAACAGTAGGTCAAAATATCATTGTGAAGATGTAGTAGTCTGAATGTAACTGGCCCCTATAATCTCACAGGGAGGGGCACTATTAGAAGGTGTGGCTTTGTTGGACTGGGTGTGGCCTTTTTGGTTGGAGGAAGTGTGTCACTGTGGAGACAGGCTTTGAGGTTTCCTAGCCTCAGGATACTGCCCAGGGTCTCAGTTGACATCCTGTTGCCTACAAGATGTAGGGCTCTCAGCTATTCCTCCAGCACCATGTCGCCTGCTCCCACCATGCCTCCCACCATGCTCCCCACCTTGATGATAATAGACTGTACCTCTGAAATTGTAAGCAAGCACCCCCCCAGTTAAATGTTTTCCTTATAAGAGTTGCTATGCTCGGAGTGTCTCTTCACAGCAATAAAAACCCTAAGAGAGAAAGTATTTTTAAACCAATTAGCACTTAAATCAATGGGCTTTGAAAGATGATTATCCCTCAAAATGCAATAAATACCACCTAATCACTTCAAGATATTTTTTGCATGTGTATATGTGTGTAGTGTGCACGCAATGTGTGGATTCCTGTTCAAATGTGTGTGTGTGTGAATATGAATGTATACACATAGAGAAAGACTGAGCTGACCTCATTGGTGCCTTCCTCATTGCAATCCACCTTATACATTGGGGCAGGGTCTTCATCTGAACTCAGAGCTCACTGACTCAGTTCATCTAGCCAGCCCTCCTGTTCTGTGTTCCCTTCTCTTTACTCCATCCCCACCACAAGCACTAGGATTCCTATCTATTTCCATGGATTCTGGGGTCTGATCTCTACTCTTCACATTTATGCAGAAAGTGTTTTATACACTGAGCCTCCTCCTCGGCCCCATCAGTTAAAGAACTAACATCTCAAGGGGCTAGAGAGATGACTCAGTGGTTTAGAGCACTGACTGCTCTTCCGAAGGACCTGGATTTGGTTCCCAATGCCCACATGGTAGCTCACAACCAACTGCAACTCCAGTTTCAGAAATGTAATGCCCTCTTCTGGCCTCTTTGGGTACTGCACCTATGTGCACAAAGCCACACATAATTAAAAATAAAATAAATCTTAGAAAAAAGACATCCCCCAAGAAAGAAGGGAGTCTCTCTGTAGATAACCTTCCAACTCTGCCTGAAGCATCGGATTCCAGGCTCTTCCTGATGAGTCTCCAGCACAGCATGCCAGGCAGATTTCAAACTTCCTAGCATCAATAATCACATCAATCAATTCCTTTAAAAAAAAACAAATAAATGATAAACAAGTAGATTTGATAAAAATAGAGTTGAAGTTTTATAGTCAGTATTGAGGTGAAAACACACAGACTGTTCAGTATACTTCCTAAAACACTAAAACAAATAAAGGCAATAAATAGCAAATAGAGTGTTGAATATTTTAGGGCTTTATTCTTGTTTTTGAGAATTTCATACATGAGTACACTATATTTACATCATTCCCAACCTTTCGTCTCTTTGTCCCAATTCCGCCTGTGTCCCTCCTTCCGCCCACTTCTCAAATTCAAGACTTCTTCTATAATTATATATTATATATACCTATATATTATATATAATATATACATAAATATTACATATACACACATATATACATATAGAGAGAGAGTCTAATTTGTATTGTCTGCATGTGTTTAGGGCTCAACAGGTATTGTACATTTTAACACACACACACACAGAGCCTCCTTATGTGAAGTGTCATTATACCAGCGTGGACATTAAGTTAATATGGAAGAACTGGCAACATCAAGCCCACGTTTGCTTGCTTCTTAGATCCAAGGAAATGTCTCAGAACACTTCTAGGATCTTCTATGTGCCCTTGGGAGAGGGCTGTGCATCTATGGAGTCACTTCCTCCAGAGGAAAGAGGCCGAGAGAACACTGGGCCAGCAACAGTCAGTAACCATCAACTCTTTCAAAGCCTCCACAATTGCAGACATAGTCACGGGGTGGACACAAGGTCACAAACGAAAGTCAGAGATGTCTAGACACAAGCAGACTCTGGAGTCATGCCTCTTGGTCACAAGCATGGAGACAGGACGAACAGCACACCAAGTGTGTTCAGAGAAGCTTCAGAGAAGAAGAAGGCCTCCCACAGCAACCTTCTGCAGTGTCCCTGACCCAGTGAATGAAAGAGGAAAACAGGAAAAATAAGAAAAGCATTACATGTACATCCCTAAAGATGGCGGGTATCGTGTCTCTAAGGCACATACAGTGTCATACTCTAAACTGTTCCCAGTTGCCCTCATGGACCGGACTTTACAGAGAGAGCCTGCTGACAGGTCAGGGAAGATCACCTACCAGAGCCCACTCTGTCTAAGTTGTCATACTCTCTAGGTGCTCATTTCTACCAAAGCACTCTGGAGGCAAGCCCAGGAGGCTCGCTGTTTAGGTGGTGCAGACGCTCGGCTTCAGAAAGCACTTCACGTCGCCCCTTAAGTGGGAGTCACATAAGCTCCGTTCATTGAGCCGCCGCAGGCAAAGGTGTCTCCAGTTCAGACACTGTGGCAATTTGCATGGTGATTTCCACTGCAGCCCTTTGTCCTCCTGTCATCCTGAAGAAGCCCTGCAAAAGTCGAGGAGAAAGCAGCTCATATGTTTACAGCCTGCTTGACACACTGTGATTTTACCCCCTCTCGCCAGACAGAAGGGGCGGGGACACCGGGGCTGGTTTTATTGTGGCGGCACAATTTCTTTGACATTGTTCAGTAGAGGACCTGGAAGGCAGATGGGGTAAAGTCATCAGTGGGCTGCACTGCAAGAAAACCTCATATTGGAAACCATTTGTGATTAGCTACAAGGCAACCTTCCACATTGCAATAAAAAGTAATTTCTTCCACTGATACAATGCTCCTCACTTTTCCCAAATATATTTCTATTTGCAGTCTACAGTGAGATGGGGGGAGCTCCATATTAAAGATTAAAGGGGGAGGGAAATCTTTCTTAAAGATGCAAAGGATTAGAAAGAAGACCTTTCCAAGGAGTCCATGAGGAAAACCACCCCAAAGATGGGTAGAGGATCCCTCATGAACTTGGGCAAGTCCCTTCTATGTTCTAGAATCCAGATCCTTTCTTGGGAAACAGAGAACCCAGTGAGACGGCTGATGCGGGTGCTCCAGAAGGCTTGAAGGTGATGTAGATAATGCAGGTGATGCAGATGATGCAGGTGATGTAGATGATGCAGGTGATGCAGGTGATGCAGATGATGCAGGTGATGCAGATGATGCAGGTGATGCAGGTGATGCAGATTATGCAGATGATGCAGATGATGCAGATGATGCAGGTGATGCAAGTGATGCAGGTGATGCAGGTGATGCAGATGATGCAGGTGATGCAGATAGTGATAGAGGTATACATAGCTATGATGAGAACTCACGTCGGGTGGCAATGGAGGCTCAGCACAATAGAACTGATAGTAAGTAGTCTTAGCTATTTGGGAAGCTGAGACAGGGGGATTTCTGGGTTCCAGAAGTTCAAGGCTATCCTGAACATCACGAGATCCTGCCACATCATGCCAAACACTTAGTAAGCGAATGACCCTGGGGATGATGCCAACGACCATGGTGATGGTGGCAGTGGCAATGCTGGACATGGTGACGAAGATCCCAGCTATGAAGCTAACAGCTGGTTTGCATTAAGCGCTTCCTATATTCACACAATTAGTGGGTACTATTTGCCATAATCTTAACAATTCTATGAAGCTGCATTTCTTCGCACTTCACTGAAGAGAAAACTGAGTCTCAGAGGAATAAAGAAACTTGTTCAGGGGTTGGGGATTTAGCTCAGTGGTAGAGCGCTTGCCTAATAAAAGCACAAGGCCCTGGGTTTGATCCTCAGCTCTGGGAAAAGAAAAGAAAAAGCAATTTGTTCAAAGAAATGTTTTGAGATCAGGACTGGAGGGCTCAGTGGGTAGGAGCATTTGGTGCACAAGGATGGGGACCTGAGACCAGACCCATATAAAGAGCCAGGTGTGACCACAAGCATACCTACAAACTCAGTGCTAGGGAGGGGAGATAGAGACAGGAAGATCTCTGACCTTTCTGGTCAAGCCAGCCTAGGCAAAAATGGGAAGTTCCAGGCTCATTGAGATACTCAGCCTCAAGTGGATAGGTGAGCGGTAGGGCAGGATTCCCAACGTCTTCCTATTTGTGATGTGCACACTTTCGCACACACACACATATACACATGTACTACACACACATACACCACATAAAACATAAATAAATAATTTTAAATATAAAAAAGCCATGTTGAGATCAGAATTCACTCTCAGGCTGCTAGTGCCCCTGAGTTTGGTCCTAGGCTTCCACGCAGTCCTAGCTGCCCCTCAGCTCTGTGACAGATGAGGCAAAATTTGTTCCATGCCCCTTGTAAAAAGTTTCCACCAGCAGTCTCCCGGGAAAAGAGAAGAAACGTGGAACGTTGAGAGCATGTGGCACTTCCAACATCAAAGAGGCTGAGAGCCCCGTTCTGTGAGGCCTGAACCACCAGGTGCACGCTGAAGGCTTGCACAGATGTGGCAGTGCTGGGAGGGTAGGTCTGAGGGCAACACCCCCACACACACACCCCGGCACAGGGAGGCGGGGGAAACCTGCGATCATTGCTTTGTCCGTGCAGGGAAAGAGCAAGTCAAAGGGGAGCACTAGGGATTAATCCACCCAAGAGGAATGAGCTACAAAAGCTGCATTTGGAAAAGGTGTGTGTCGCCCCTGACGGCATCAACCAACCTGTCACAAATACCTGCGGATAGAGAAGTCTAGCTTTCCGTTAATGGCAGAGTGCTTTGTTTTGCTTGCAAATGCCTCAAAATAATAATAATAATAACCTTCTCAAGGTGGGTGGCAAAGTACGTTTCCATCCTATGGGAAACTGTCACGAAAGATGATCACAGCCTCCGTGAGCACGTCCCCCGTGGGAGCCAAAAGAAAATACCAACGCTGCAAAGCCCATCTCTGAATCACTGCTCCTCAGAGGTCTGTGCCTCTCTGTGATCTACAAAGATCAAAGGGAAAACCTCCTTCACATAAACTCCAATGACAGCAGTAACAAGGAGCTGACACAAACCTGAGGTAGAATTCAGCACATGGCCCTGGTCACTCCTGACATAGCCATGGCTGTTGGCCTCTCTCCTCCGATGCAAGGGATGACCTGCTTCGTTGCTCTAATTTGCCCCCATAGTAACCAGCACAGGCTTGGCATAAAATAGTCTATCGAGGAAAAAGTAATCCTATGCCAGCACACGTTAGGAGCCCCCAGACACATCTGGGACCATGTCTCCCAAACCAGTGAGAGGAGAATCTTAAATTTCCCTTAGCAACAATTTCATGCCTGGGAGATATCCCTCAAGCCAATCATTAAAATCATTATAATCACATCAATGGCATCCACCATCATTCAAATGTGTAAAATTATTCTTGGGCTGGGACATACTTCAGACAGTAGCAAGGATGTGCATTAGACCCCCAGAACCCTCATTTAAAAATGCTGAATGTGGTCGTGTGTGGTTATCATGCCGGCACTGGGAAGCTGAAAGAGGCAGATCCGTGGAGTTAGCTGGCCAGCCAGCCCCGCCTCCGTGCTGAGTTCCAGTCTAACGAGAGACCCTGTTTTTGAAAAGTTGAACAGGCTCTTAGCAGTGTCTTATACACTCGTGTGCACACACAATCATGCCTACCCAAAAACAAGTGCACAGAGACAGACAGAAACAAGGAGAGGGGCTTTCCAACAATAACCCTTTAGAGAATCCTCAGTATGAGCAACGCAGGGACACTGGATAAGAACATGACAGAGCTGGAAATTGGCTTCCGGTCTGGAATGCTTTTTACAGAACACCCCTCTGTGCTGCTTGTCAGTCTAATACATTGGCATGGGTGCACCGTCATTACTCATGGGAGATCTCAAAGTCCTTGTGTGTGTGTGTGTGTGTGTGTGTGTGTGTGTGTGTGTGTGTGTGTTGGTTTTTCGAGACAAAGTTACTCTGTGTAGCCCCGGCTGTCCTGGAACTCTCTCTGTAGACCAGGCTGGCTTTGAACTCACCGAGATCTGCCTGTTTCTCCCTCCCCTCCCGAGTGCTGGGATTAAAGGCGTGTGCTAACATCACCTGGCTTCAAAGCCTCAGTTTTAAAACTCCAGTTCTGTTCTTCCACAAGTCAGCCACCCTGGCATACTTCTCCGAACACCCACTCCACCAAATGCTAACAGACACTGACAGATGCTCACCATGAGCTGTTAGCCTTGCTGCCAGCCCTTTGTGAAGAACCATAGAGGAGCTAGAATCCACAGACGGCATGTCTCCGAGCCCCTTATAATAAGACTAGGTCCTTCTTACCCCACATCCTCTCCAGCATAAGTTGTCATCAGTGTTTTTGATCTTGGCCATTCTGACAGGTGTAAGATGGAATCTCAGAATTGTTTTGATTTGCTTTTCTCTGATGGCTAAAGATGTCGAGCTTTTCCTTAAGTATCTTTCAGCCATTTAAGATTCCTCTGTTGAGAGTTCTCTGTTTAGGTCTATAGCCCATTCTTTTTTGTTGGATTATCTGTTTTTTGGATGTCAAGTTTCTTGAGTTCTTTGTGTGTTTTGGAAATCAGTCCTCTCTCCAATGTGGGGTTGGTGAAAATCTTTTCCCATTCTATACGTTGCCGTTTTGCTTTGTTGACCATGTTTTTACAGAAGCTTCTCAGTTTCACCAGGTCCCATTTACTAATTGTTGCTCTCAGTGTCTGTGCTACTGGGGATGTATTTAGAAAGTAGTCAAGTATACTTCCCACTTTCTCTTCTACAAGGTTCAGTGTGGTTGGTTTTATGTTCAAGTCCTTGATCCATAATGACATCTTGAAATTTGCAGGCAAATGGATGGATGTAGAAAAACCATATGGAGTGAGTAACCCAGACCCAGAAAGAAAAATATAATATGAACTTCTAGACATAAAGCAAAGAAAAACCAGCCTACAGTTCACAAACCCAGAGAACCTAGACGACAAAGAGGACCCTAGGAGAGACATACATGGATCTACATAGGAAGGAGAAAAAGACGAGATCTCCTGAGTAAATAGGGAGCGTGAAGGTCACGGTAAAAGATTAAAAGAGGGGAGGGGAGAAAAGGAGGGGAGTGAACAAAATTGTATAGCGCAATAAAAACAATTGAAAAATAAGCCTCAGTTCTAGCAAATGCATGAGAAGGGCAGGAGACTAAAGGAGGGAGCCTGTGTTCATTCTCTATTGCTGCCATAGCAACTTACTTACTCCAAACCTGCCGACTTCAAACAACACTCACATTCTCACACAGATCTGTAAGTTAGAAGCACATTGGGCTCAAGAGATTCTCTGCTTCGGGTCTCACAAGGCCAGAAACAATCACTAGCTGACCTCGGTTCTCATACTAGCTCAAGGATCACTTGAAAACAGAAACGGGTTTCATGAAGTTGTAGAACCAAGCCCTCTGTTTTCCCAGACTGCCGGCTGGTCCTCGTGAGCGCCTCCAGGTTACCCACATTCATTCGCTGACACACCCTCCCTCTTCACAGCCAGATATGGTTCACTGAATCCTCTCATGCCTTGAACCT